AACAACTACCGTATTAAGGGCGGTAGCATGAAGCTAATCTGGTAACATCCCCCGGTCGGAAGAACACCCCTACGCGACAAATTAATTGCTCTCCCAAACCCCAGACCACCCGACCGTAACACAAGGTTGACTATGTAGTTGGTTTTTGTTTGGTATTTTTTTTGTTTTTTGCATGAATAATTCTTTTTTGTTTTGTTATATTTCAATCGATTTATGGTGTGACAAAAAACCACCGCAAATTTTATTGTGAATATCAATGTGGATATTTATCAAAAAAGATAACTGTTTATACTATAATTTACGATAATATGAAACTTGACTAATTAGCCGACGAACGACTGACAAATCATCTACACGAATATTAATGTTATCGTTATCCTGTTGTTCAAGAAACGATAAAGACTTTCTTAATGCATCTTCGTCTTCTTTTAACGAAATTTTTATTTCTTCTGTATCGGAATTATCTTTTGTTTCGAGCTCGTTATTATGATTTAGAACATCTTGAATTATATCGTGCTTTTTTGCGGCAGTCAGATGTGTATAGGGTTTGGGACGTTTTTTACCAGATTGTTTTTGGAACGATCCATAAAACTCTTTCGTAGTCGAGAAATTATTACATACATATATGGGAAATGATCTGCAATGGAGAATTAAAGTTGGATTTTACAATACTTAATTTATACAGTTTGATCACTTACAGTTGTCCGAACCGAATTATCGAGATTTCATAATTATGGACGAATAAAAGGAAGGAATTTGATATAAAAAAACGAGTCCGGCATCAAGCGTCCGGATTATCGAAAATCCGAATTAAAGGCAGTCTAATACTAAGCCTCTGCATCTGGGACTGCCACTTTTGCATTAGAACATGTGACGTCACAGGTTTATCTTTGGCAATTGCTTGCGCGTCATGTTGCCCATTCAACCCGTTTCGCCTTTACCAACTGTTACATGAGACACATTAACTCCATCCTTAGAAAGTTTGGTGGCCAAAGTTTGCAAAGATTGAAAACTGTCTCTGCCTTCGCGCCTCCCAAGATACAATCAAACAAAAACCCTTCCCGAGTTTTCCTAGCACTCGAAAGTCACAGCGCGCGTGCTGATGGTCATCTTTCGTTTAATGTTGGTCAACGGATTGAAATTGCCGATTATAGTGATGACCATGACCTGTTAATTGGGAAGCTCGACAACAATGTTGGAGGCTTGATCGCCCGAGATACTCTTGAAAACTGCTTACATCCGGAAGGTATGCAGAATACAGCATTTCCCATTGCTATTTGCTATTTCATTATTCACTAATATTCTTCCATGTCATTTTTTACCTGTTCCCCTCTTTGATGATGGTTTTGATGTGTCGAAGGAAGCACCGAAAATATATCAAATGATTTGAATACATCTACCCTGGTGTTCAATGGCCGATTTCGAGCATTTCCTACAAACGACAAATCCGACTTTTTGAAGCTCCGTAGTCAGTCAGGTTTGGCCTATTTTGACCGTACTGGATACATATCAGTACTCTCTTCCTACGGAGCAGATGTACTACTCTTTTTACGTCCACGCCGTTTCGGCAAGTCCCTGGCGCTTAGTATGCTTACCTGCTTCCATGGGGTGGAACACAAGAACAACTATGATATACTCTTCAAGGTTAACGACGATAGCATTTTTCTTTATTTTCGTCCTATTTGGGGTGTTAATTCTCTCTTAATCCATTGTTTATAGGGCCTTGCTATCGACAACGATGTCCAGGCTGGCACCGTCAAGCCCAACCAGTATCTTGTTTTGTTGCTAGATTTTTCTGGTATCAACCGCGACCCTGACCCTGGAATTGCCAAAGCCGGACTCTTCGATATGATCAACGGTGCCATCGAACGGTTTTACGCTTGTCAGGATCAAGGCTTAACACAACGTATTCCTCTGTGATTTCCGCTCTGTCACACGAAATTCTCCGATTCCGCAGCACACGAAATCTAAGTGACACAGCCACCGATAATTGTGCAGCATGGTACA